GCTCCTCAGCCTTACTTCTTAAAGGTTCAGGAAGAAGGCTCACTACATCTTGCTCCAAACACACAGGGCAAGTGTATGACTTTGGTAAAACATCAAGATATGGCTTCCACAGAGATTTCTCACCAGCATGCTTCTCTGCTATTAAAAATGTGCACAGTGCTATCAAAGGAGATACAGGAGGCTTCCATCTATTAAAAAAAAAAAAAAAAAGGCAGGTACACAGAGGTGAGATAGGAAATTGATATAGTAGTATTTTGTCTATCTTTTAATTCTTTGAAATGTTATAAATAACCTATTTTAAAGTTCTTTGTAGTTAATTTCCTTTTGATGATTTCAAAGGGGCTTTTGACTTCATTTTATTGAGAAGCTATAAAAGTCAGTTTGCGGTAAAAAAATCAGGTTCACCTCTTGTTGTTGTTTTTTTTAGCATAGATAACAAGTACTCATGAACCTATTACAGCAAGTCATGGACCTAGGAGGGCCACAAGGATGATCAAGGGGCTGAAGCACCTCTCCTGTAAAGACAGGCTAAGGGAGCTGGGGTTGTTCAGCCTGGAGAAGATAAAGCTCAGCGGAGACCTCAGAGCAGCCTTCTAGTACCTAAAGGGAGCCTGCAGGAAAGCTGGGGAAGGACTCCTTTGTCAGGGAGTGCAATGATAGGACAAGGAGTAACGGTTTTAAACTAAGAAAGAGTAGATTTAGATCAGATACAAGCAAGAAGTTCTTTACTCAGAGGGTAAAGAACTGCCACAGGCACTGGAACAGGTTGCCCAGAGAAGCTGTGGATGCCCCGTCCCTCAAAGTGTTCAAGTCCAGGCTGGATGGAGCCTTAGGCAACCTGGTCTAGTGGGTGGTGTCCCTGCCCATGGCATGGGGACTGGAATTGGGTGGTCTTTAAGGTCCCTTCCAACCCAAACCATGCTGTGATTTTATGATTCAACCCAACATCCAGCACAGGCCTTTGTCCTGAACTTTCTAAAACGCTTGAACTTTCTAATAGTTCAGGTGATTACTTTGCTGCCTCATGTTATTCACCTTCTTCTATTGAAGCATACTTTCGAATTTGTAAGAAACCATTCATAACTGGCATTTAGGTCCAAGATGGCTCTAGTGGCAGGTCAAGTTCAAACCTGTACCATGCCTCCAGCTCCACCTAGCCGATTATCTGAGCATTCCACATGCAAGAGAGTATGTAAAAAATACAAGTTAGGATACGCAGTTCAAAATTCTACCACCACTTAAGATGATTTATCTACTATTGAGCAACTCACAGGAAGGGTCAGCTGAGAAAGTTGTTTTCCTTTATTGCCACATGTCACTTTTCACTTACTTGATAATGTATTCTCCTAAACAGCTGCTAAGGACGGTGTCCGTGGTGAGTAAGCATTTTTCAGGCAATGAAATAACCAGTTCCCCTGCCTTCAAGGGAACAAAAAAAAGTAAAGGTCAAGTGTAAATGACTCATATACTATGTGATTTATGAAGAGAGAGCCAAGAGAACCCTAATGACAGGAAGCAATCAGATGTGATGTTGAATTTAATGGAAACTAACATGGCTTTAAGACGGTCACTGTCCAGGGAAGGAATGACCTGCAACTAGTATGAACTGTCACCTGCAGAAACTCACCTGTTCACAAGACAGTTTGGTGCCTGGCTCCTCAGCATCACTACCTTCTGTACTATATTTCATAACTGGTCTCACAAACACTGGCTCTTCTATCAACAGAGCAGCATGGAGTAGGGATGTTTAAGGTCATGTCTACCCTGACATTGTTCAAGCTGCCATGTGTGTAAATTAGCTTTCACCCCTAGCTTGAGAGGTACATGTCCATCCCTGTAGGGAGAAGACATAAATCAAGCCAATACTCTCCTCTTCCCATTTCTCTCCTGCATTTCCCTATCCTGTTCAAGTATAGCTGAGCATAGCTCTCATTTCATTAACTGCAGACTTCCAGCTCTGTGGATGATCCAAGCCTCTGGCTTCAACTGCTGGCTCTGGCCCCAAGAACATAGGCTGAGCCAGCATGAGAACCTACACTGTTCTCCACACAGACTCTCCACTGCATCTCCTTCCTATCTCTTGCCATATTCTGTTTCACAAAAGGCTCTGGGTCTAATTTCCCAACATTTGATATGCTATTCTCATGCCAGTTAAGAAACTTCTCCAAAAATATTTTCTGAGAGGCACTCTGCAATTGGAGATCAGTCTTGCTATGCCAGTATCTGAAGGTCAAAGTATTTTTTCTATTATACCCCATTTCTGCTGGGAATGTTAACAAAATTACATTTTTATTACTTGATTATCGACAAAGAAGAGGGCCATTGAAGGGCGGTTAAGGCTGTGGTTTCACATTATGGTTAAGATAATCTAACACCAAATGTTGCTTAAAAGCCTTGACCCCTTCCCTCCATCTCCCTCCCTGACGTGCTATTGCTCCCTTTGTACCACCTGGTCTAACCAAGGTGTGCCATTTCCAGGAGCAAATCTATCAAAGGTAAGGGAGAGTCTTCTACTGGTTTAGCTTCCTGAGGCAATTTATCCCACGAGCAAGGAAACTGCTAGAAGCCAGTGGCTGAGGAAAAATGCACAAAGCAAGAAATGGGCCTGCTCCTTCTGTTTTCAGTTAGCCACTGACTGCCTTAAATTGAAATGTAAGACTGCATACTAAATTGCTGTAAATGAGTATAGTAATGCCCTCATCCAATGAATCCTCAGAGTATATACAATATAATTTTGCAGATATGACAACATTACGATTTCTAGTATCAGGCTAGAAATTACATTCACAATGAGGACTGCAAACACCTTGTCCGGAATTTTGAGTTTCCTTGTTGCAAAAGTCACATTCTGTGATTCAATGATTACAATTTAACGAACCTAGAGGTTAGAGGAATCTAGAGGTTCGTTTAGAGGAGCTCCTGCATTACAATCAACATTACTAACCTGAAGAGCTTTTGTTGTCATCAGTCCTCTTCCTGTATCTGAAGCAGAAACAAAGAGAATGTTTATAGTAAAATACAAGAGACTATGGTAAGCTGCAATAAATTTACAGGCCAACACGGAATAAGTCTGAAAGAACATATATCTCTCTGAAAAATCATAAAAGCCAATTATGGATTGTTCTAAATACACACCACATTTCTTTTTCTCTTTTTACTCTATTTCACTTTTTACTTTTCTACTATTTTTCAGGACCTGAAGAAAGCCCTTTCCCTGCAACAGTTGTCCAGTTCTAGCAATTACTCAATTCCTTCTTCCCAATTTTTTCTTTAAGCACATCTTTCATCACTGGCTCCTGGCCTTGTTTTCAAAGTTTTAACTTCACTTTACAATTTCTATTTGCAACATTTTTCTCTGATTCATACTACCTTCTCTACTCTCTCTTCAATATTGCAAAAGTTTTTGAAATGCTATCTAATTGAAGAGAAAAAATATGGGTAGATATCTTTACTGTAAAAAGTAGTATATGACTCTGACCTCTAAAATCATTTACTTATCTGTATCACTAGAACTGCTGAACTAGCACAGGAAAATAAAAGGTAAAGAAATGATACCAAGGTTAGATTCCGATACTGGAAGCACTTGAGATGATACTTTCTTATTGAAAACTGTACTATTAACACTTAAAATCTCAATTTCTACAAGGAATTTGGCATAGGTTTACATGTTTTACAGCATACCTGATAACTCTCATAACAGAGTTTTACACAAAAGTATCTCCATATAAGCAACAGTTTACAGTATTTCAGGCCTCCACATACACTTGTTCGTGTTAAAATGACATTAACGTGCACTTACCAAAAGTCCTTAAAAGACTAATGGTAATTTTTTTTTTTTTTTTTTTTTTTTGGCTAATATGTGTGATTCAAAGTCAAAGTAGGAATACAACATTCTTAATCAAAAACATGTACCACCAATAAATAATTAGAACATTACCCCGGAATTGTGCTGGTCTTAAATTACTGTCTTCAAACCCTCTGTCTTTCAGCCACTTCTTAAGTTTAATATATTCCAGTTTGTGACTGCAGTTGACTAAAAATGAAAGAGAGGTTTAATGCTATAAAATAGTGCTCTACTATAAAGCAAAACAAATACAAATATGTGACTGCGTGTTCATAAAAAAATATATATTTTGAACTTTTTAGTACAGCATAACAGAATAGCAAGAAAGGCTCTCCTTGAACTAGCTTACTAAATTCTGGGCCTTTGGGCACTGGGAGCTCTCAGAAGCGTAGGAGTTATTCAACAAATACAAGGGACAAAGAATTTAAGAATAACATGATGCCTCCCAACAGCCACAAAGTAGAGCTCACAGTATTCTGACTGGGAATGTAATGTTAGAATACTTGTATAGGAAAATAAATAAGTAAATAAATAAATCTGAATGTTATTTGTAAAATACAAAAATGTTTGAGAAATGTGCACCATAAAATGATACCTAGATAAACAACTATTTAGCAGTACTTTCAGGGACAGTACCTCCATGCATGAAACTCTGCAAGCGTTTTCTTCTTCTCTTTCGACCTGTCCGGCCTCTGTTTCTCTTCATATTAAGAAACAGATCTCACCTTTTTTAGAGGGCCTGAATTCAGGAAAAAAGAGAAAAAAAAAATATTTAATGACCACTTCAAATGTTGCATGTTTCTTTCATTTCAATACGAGAAATCAGACCACGGCCTGCTTAATACACAAGCTCTTTAAATTTAAGCAAATGTGCTACAAGCAAACCCATAAACGAGGGCGGGTGATGGGGTGAGAGAAGATGGAAGCCTTTATCTCCAGCATCATCTTGGCCAAGGCATGGCCATAACCGGCTAAAGGAAATGAGACGCGGGTGCTTATATGCACAGAACTAAAACAGTTTCCGCAGAGCAAATATATTAAGAGTTATGGAAAATCAACAGCCAAAAACGGCTGCCCCAGGCACCCACCCAGCTGCCTCCAGCCCACCTGCAACAAAGGGTAAAGTCCCCACCGCCACCAACCCCTTGACCAGCCCACCCGCCCCGGCCCTGCCCGCCGCGGGAGGCGGGGCCCCGGCCGCCATTTTAGGTCCGTGCGCCTGCCCCTGGGGAGCGTGGTCTGTGGCGGGCCGCCAGGTCAACCTCCTGCAGCGCGGTGCTCGGGGGCCAGGGGCAGGCACGCAGAGCCAGAGGTGGGTCGGGGAGTGCTGGGTGCCCCTCGGGTCTGTCCGCAGGGCTTGTCTCGCAGCAGCACGGAGTTTCTTGGGGACTTGGGTTGGGTCTTGGCTTGTGGGATGCTTTCTGCTTTTGTTTTAGGGCGAAAAAGGGGCGCTGGGGAGGTGGTGGGCGGCCAGCGGGACATCGGTGTTGAAGCGGGAGGGGAGGCTGGGCATGAGTTGTCCGGCATCTCCGGCGTGATGTGGGTGATTTTTGGGAGCTGGTGAGGGTTTCGTCTTGCTAGGTGCCTGCTCGTGGTTACTTGCAAGCTGCTTTTGGAAGGGAATAGCAGTTAAAAGTGGACAAAAACTGCTTTTGGAACTTCATTATATGGGTATAATGCAGGTTTTAATGCGCTGCATCCACAAGAAGAGCCGTTTTCTGCAGTGGACTTTATGTCCAAAGCTGTCTGATGTGTTAAATGGAAGAAAAGTTTTGTGTGAGGGCAGTGCATGGTCCTGTGTGTATCCCTCTGAAAACACTAGCGCTAGTTCTGCTCGGCACTTCAGGATCAAGCTGCTCCTCTCCTATTTTTCAGGCCTGTTTTCCCAGTTTTGACTTTATCAGTGCTTGACCTGAACCAGCTGAATGCCTTGAAAAAAAGGGGAATGGTCATCCTATAAGATGTACGTCCAAAAGACTGTAATCCTATCAAAAGTTAAGTTAGCCATGCAGACTAGTGACTTTTAAAGTCCAACCAGTGACAGAGTTCAAACTTTTTAACAGCGAATATATTTCTTTGCTAATACTCCCCACTACTTCACTAAATTAATGTACAGTTGTAGGTTTACATAATTCAAAGAGAAATTCTAAATTGGATTTTTAAGAAAAAAAAAATACTTAAATCCTTTTTCAGATATCCGTTTTGTCCATCAGAGTGTGAAACTTTTCTTGTTTACCATTTGCAGTTACTGTCACTTTGGTGTACGTTCAGAGAGGACAATGTCCAGCGTGGCTGTGGTGACCGGCTCCAACAAGGGGATCGGCTTCGAAATCGTGCGGGCTATGTGCAAGCGGTTCCCAGGGGATGTGTACCTCACAGCCCGGGACCCCGGACGTGGCCAGGAAGCAGTGGCGAAGCTCCAGGAGGAAGGGCTGCATCCTCTCTTCCACCAGCTGGATATTGATGATCCGCAGAGCATCAGAGCTCTGCGGGACTTCCTAAAGCAGAAATACGGAGGTCTGAATGTGCTGGTGAACAATGCAGCGATAGCTTTCAAAGGTAGGAAGCAGACTGGGTTAGTCATATGTGGTATAAAGTTACGTGAAGAAGGTTGGTATATGCATCAAGGGTTTTATAAAGCTGCTTTTATGGGATTTCGGTGCCAACACCGTACTGCTTTTTTTGGCTGGGCAAGCTGCCTGCTATCTCAAGTATGATGAGAGGGTGATGTGAAACAGCTCTTCTGTGAGCACCTGATGGGTTAACTGTGTATGTAAAGATGCTTCCCTGGAGTATTTTATTTGCATTGTGTGCAGAGCGTGCAAATACTCAAGATGCACAGTACACATGAGCAAAGGGATTTGTTGCCTTGGTGCACATGAGTTTCATCAGACCTCTGGCAGCCCATTATAGGTATGAATGTTGGCCACATTCCTCTAGGAACTGAGTTTTCTGTGTTTTGTGAGCCCTGTACTTTGCTCTGTGCATTATCTGCTCAGGAGTTCAGTTGATAAAAAGAACCTTCAACTCTGCGTGTTCCTGTCACCTTTACTTCTCATTACCTTTCTCAGATTATTCAATTGTCTATAAGACAGTTAATCTAAATCTTGCTGTGCTGAGCAAGAATTTAAACTTTTCATCTCCTAGTAGATAGAAAGGCAGTGAAAGTGAGGAAGGCACCACAGTTATAACGTAGAAGAGTGCATTCTACTTGTAGATGTTTATAAAAACAAATTGAGAATCACGTTAGCTTCAGATGAAGCAAATCGCAAGCATGACTACTAGTTCATTTCCCTGCCAGTAAAAGCTTGCTCTTCTGTTTTTTGGTGTTGTTTATTTTTTGTGTGTGTGGTTTGTTTGGTTTTTTTAATCTATCTTCTGTTGGGTTTTGTTTTTTTTAATCTTTGCCTGGTCTGTAATTAGGACATTAACTGTTCAAGCATAGCAAAAGCATTGTTTCATCCACTCACGATATGGGTTAAGGCAGCCTGTCAGGTAGTATGGACCAAACCTCACTTGCTGCTGAAGATGGAGCTTCTTACAAAGTGGAAATGTAGCGAGGGTGTTCTGAAGTCAAGTCATTGTTTATGTTTTGCTTGGTACTATGCAGGAAAATTGCTCGTGTTAATGATCAGCTCGATAACGGGCAACTCTTAATAGAATTCAAGTGCATCCTGAAGTGTGGACAAATAGAGCAGTGCTAAAACCTAACAGCAATGGTTAAATGATTGCATCTCTGTCCAAGGTTATTGCACAAAAAAGCCTGCAGGTCTCCAGGCCAGCATTTCTTCAGTTCATAATCAGGGCCCTAGCTCAACCTGCAAGTGACAACACGTTTGGGCTAGACTAGACCATGACTGCCATAGTTGAGGTACAGTGTGTGTTTCCCCTTGCTGACTTTGCAGCGACCATAGCCTTCACCAGGATGGATACCGGGGCAGCTGAAACAAAAAAAAATAATCCAGAAATCACGCCAGCTAGATTGGCTAGGGCTCATCTATGGGAGATCTCAGGTATATTATTGTATAGATACTGGACAGATAAATCACAGAATTGTTTAGATTGGAAACAACTATAAAGAGCATGAAGTCCAACCATCAACCTAACACTACCAAGTCTGCCACTAAGCCATATCCCTAAAGCACCACATGCACAACTAGGTGAAAATAGCGTGAGCAGTGAGGTGTCTGTTAATTCCTTTACAACAACATAGATTTTTCTATTCATAAATTGCTTCCAGGCGCTTAGAACTTGACTCGTCATGCTGACAATGCACCGTGAGTCAGCAGTAGATCATGTGATGGGTTCCTCTATCACAGTTCTTATCTCTAACTGCTATTGTGTAAGGATCTAACAGAGGTTAGAGAGTTACACCTAAGTATAATTACTTGCTCTGATCCTTATCTCATATTCTGGCTTTAATTCTTGCTTTCTTGGTTTTTGCTGCCATCCCAGAATTTATGGTCTCCTTTCTTGATTGTAGTACTGTGTGTTATTGCAGTCTGTCAAAGATTAGATTTGTCATTATATTGAATTTATTGTTCAGTTTTTGTGCTGCGCTACAGGTAGTCCAGCAAAGTCCTTAGTCCACCAAAAATGTCCCTGTATGAAATGACTGTGTACTCAGGACTTGTTTTCTGGATGAGTTTCTGTGTGTCATTCTAGTAACATTTGTTAAGTCAGGGGAGGGCGTATCAATTGGATGTTACAAGGTTATATTTTGTTTGACAAATGGGTGGGTTTCTGAGAGCAAGGGAATTTTTGGATTGCGTGGATTTTTATCTTTTTCTCCTGTTGTCACAGCTTTTGCAATAGGCTATGGTCCGGCTTTTATCTCTGTTTTAAATGCAACCAAGTGATCTGCTTGAGACTGACTTATTTACAGTTATTTAAGCAGAGTTTTGCAATAAAACCATACCTATGTTAACCAGCAAGTGATCTGTTACTGCTTCTCTGAGTTTACGTAGGTCTGGACTATGGAGACCAAGTGAAGACCTACCTATTTTGTGTAGGTGGCCTTTATCACTGCAGAGATTGAGCTTGTAGCAGATGAGGGAGAATGCTGTCTCTTTAACTTAGTTCCCCTCAAACAGGAGGATGCACAGCATATGGCTTATTGCTGAGCCAAATTGTCAGCTGATGGCACATCCTACCCCACTTTTGGTGGTGGCAAGCTGTCAATTCTGTCTGAGATCACAGCCTTAAGCAGTCCATGGAACTGCACCGTACGATTACCTAAATCAGCTTCTTGCTCTTTCCTAGCTGCTGTTTCCTACTGTTGTGCTTGTGTCAGCACAGATCTGTCAGTTTAGGGAAATGATTTATCACACTGGTATTTATCAGTGGGCTTTTTTGGACTGCAGCAGATGTTATCCCTCACCCCTTACAGAATGTTTTACAGTGTTTGTTGCAATTCTGTACTGCTCTGACTCCCAAGTCCTGTCTGAGAACCCAAAAAGACATGGCAAGAAATGGGTCAGGATATGGAAGCATTTGTCTGCCTTGGTTTTGGATCTTAATGCCAGAGGAGTAGTCAAACTTCTGCATCTTCGGTGGCAGTATCCTGGATTCAGGATCTCTTTTGCTCTCAATTGCCCCTCTTACCCATCCTCTCCCAAAATATGTCAGGATGCTGGCAAAGTGCTGCACTGTGTATTTAAGAGGAGAGGGCACCTCCAAGTTTGCTTGAATGTGGTAGTCACAGTCCATACACTGAGAACTAGATGTGAGCAGGTAGGTCATTGGACAATGATAAGATAAATTTGTTTGTTTTTGTTGGTTGAAATAACTTCCTTTCAAACAGTAATATAATTCTGTTTTGTTTTGTTTTTTCCTCCCTTGCTGCTGCCTCTTACAAAAAGTTAATGACCAAACTCCGTTTGCGGTCCAAGCAGAGGTTACCCTGAAGACAAACTTTTTTGGAACTAGGAATGTTTGCACAGAATTGTTGCCTATCATGAAGCCTTATGGTAAGTGTAACATAACAAGTAGAGAAATAGTTTTATGTGTTTTTTTGGTGCTCATTAACTGGCAAAATCCTGTCATGTCTCAAGCACACTGGATTGAAGTGGAATTTTCATGGCACCCGCAAGAAGAAATGAAGAATTCACACGTTCTTTCCATGCTACTTGTCTACATAAATTATTCTCGCTTTAGAAGGGACATTTTGATGATACAATTAGGATAAGGAGGCCACTAAAAATAGTGTTCCTGTTGGGTTTGATGCGATACACCTGTCCTTGCAACTGAAGAAACCTTCTCGATAGGCTGTTGGTCTGTCTCTATTTAGATCACAGACTTTGCTGTATTTGCAGGTGTTTAGTGATAAAGTTATAAATAGCACTCAACGATGCTTTACACTGCCGTAATTTGGTGGTAGCAGGAGGAACTAGAGGAAAAACTTTACCAAAAATGGTAAATAGAATGGAGGAGACCAGGATAAAGGAAGACAGATGCATCAATAATAAACGGATGTTAGCAGCATGCAAAATAATCTGTACTCATCAGATGACTGTCCTGCACAGAATGCTCCTCTTGTCAAAACCTAGAGTGCTTGAATGCTGCTAATATGTCACAGACAATGTGAAAGGAGGGTATTTGGATCCAATTCCTACATCAAACTCAAAGTTGTTATGCTTGTTGTTGTTTGGTTTTTTTTCTTTCCAATAGCAGTATTTTCAAACTTGTGATTGAGTGATATTTCCATAGATATTTGGATAAGTGCTTGATGCTATAAGTGAAGTGTAGTCTATACTGACATCTAAGTACACCTACAATTTGCATGAGAAAAGGAGTAGATGAGATAAAAGTTGGGAATTCTGAGTCCACAGGGAGGAGGGAAAGGACACAAAGTGAATTTGAGTCAGTAGGTGGGGGAGAATAAAGAGCACCAAAATTGCAATTTAGTCCCCTGTACCAATGGCAAAGAACAGGTATTTTAATAAAGTCATTCACAAAAATGATTAATTTCTGTGGCTTTTAAGGTCTAAATCCTGCATTCGTTCCTTAGTTCATTCTGTGCTGAAGAGCTAGGGGAGAAATAGCTTACTGCAGTTTTGCATGCTGGGATTTGTAGACCATCAGGTATTCTATAAACAAGCTGATACTCTCAACCTAGGAACTAGGTTGCTTTTGCTGTATTATGCATTATTCTGGTGTTTGGGGTATTTTCCTGTGGCACCTTCTTAAGGCTGTTGCAGAACTGAGAATGTTTTCCACCAGAATTTCAAGACTGCATTTAAAGTCTGGCTGCCCTTAACTGAGAAAGCCACTTACTGCTCTGACTGTGCCTACAGACTGTAACAGGCTGTATCCTGCAAGCCTACCTGAAGTTCAGTAGAGAGCTTTTGCAGTTTTTGCACCTTAAATTATCCTTTCTGATGGAATTCACTAGAGGCATTGAACTCTGGGTAGACTGTGATCCTCAGAAGTTCTTCAAAATAGTCCACATAAAATATTTTACAGGTATTCACTTAAGCAGCAAACACACAACTGTAGAGCAAACTTACTTCAAGTTTGGGTGTATTTAGTGTGCATAAATGTAAATATTCTTTATTCTCTTTTTTTTCTCAGGTAGAGTGGTGAATGTCTCTAGCATGGCAAGTAGCTCGGCTCTGGGACGCTGCAGCCAAGAACTACAGAAGAAGTTTCGCAGCGACACAATCACCGAGGAAGAGTTGGTGGAGCTCATGACAAAATTTGTGGAAGATACCAAGAAAAATGTGCATGAGAAAGAGGGGTGGCCAAATACTGCCTATGGGGTGTCCAAAATTGGTGTCACAGTCTTGTCCAGGATTCAAGCCCGGATGTTTAATGAGAAAAGAAAAGGGGACCACATCCTTCTCAATGCCTGCTGCCCTGGGTGGGTGAGAACAGACATGGCAGGTCCTAAGGCCCCTAAATCACCAGAGGAAGGGGCTGAGACCCCAGTTTACTTAGCCCTTTTGCCTTCGGATGCTGATGGTCCTCATGGCCAGTTTGTTAGTGAGAAAACTGTTCAGACCTGGTGATTTTATGGTTAGTGGACCCATGCAAGCGGTAATATGGCTGTGTGCCTTGGTAGTGACACCCCGAGCAGTCTCATCCTTTCCACAGCAGTGTGAGGGTCCTTTGTCATTACGGTGGGGGTTACATTTCCAGTGTTTCTCTAACACTGTCTTTACGCTCAGAATCTTCCCAGCAGCATCTGTTAACCTCGTTAACACGTTAACCTCCGCTGAGGTGCCTGACCTTGTTTACCAGAATTTGGTCTCCATTAAGTCACTGCCAGCCCTTCACTTCTCATGCTACCCCTGAGACAGCCATGGATCTCTGGCATGGGGCTCTGATGAGACAAATGCCTTATGCTTTCTTAGTGCAACAGATCTTTTTGGGAACCACAGGTTCTTGAGTTTGTATGTGATTTCTTAAAGGAGAATTAGTTGTTGTTTTTTTGTTTTTTGTTTTTCTCAGAGCTACAATCTAACCAGTTTTTGGGGGAAGCTAATCAGATTCAAACAGAACCACTTGTATAAAAATTCCTTGTCACTACAAAATGGAATTAGGTGAAAATAAAAATTGCACTTGTATACCATTAGTTGGAAAACCTGTCCAGTGGGCTTTATTAATGTGTACGCCAATAAATGATTACTTCTGGAATTCTATTATTGTGATACTAAAAATAGATGTTTGTTGAAAATACACTTTAATTTTTTGCATCCAGACCTGTAGCTGGAATATGTGATGTTTGGAATATATTAAGAGAAAATAAACTATAGAACTGATAATAGCAAACATCTCCAGGACTTCCAGTTCATTTATTGTGCAGTCAGAAGTTTCCTTATTAATAACCCAGATTATGTGTACTCTGTGTAGTAGAGCAATTGAACTATGAATGTTATGTTACTATTATAGGGTAGGGCTGAAATACACATAATTATCAGAGTAAAAATTTTCTCTAAGCAAAATTACAACTAGGGAAAGCAGTGACGTGTAGAGCACCAATTTTTTGAGGGATTTCAAATGTTGGTTGTTGCATTTCAAATGCTTAACCTTGAAAGGGTTGCCCCTGCACTTCAAGCTGGGAGGTGCAGGCATGTCACAGCAGAGGTGTAGGGTGAGGTAGCTGGCTGCAGCAGGTGGGAGCAAGGTGGGTTTAGGTCATCCTCAGGCAATAACTGTGCAGCCTTCTCCATAATACCTGGTTTTGTCCAGCACAAAAGCCGTGGTGGGGGCTCCAAGGCCCTGTCCCATCTTTGCTGCAGGGCAAGATGCACGCAGGACTGTGCTATGCAGGAGGAGGGTGCCACCCTCTTGCTGTGGGAAACTTAAAGGGATGGGGAAGAAATGCATACAAGCCTCGTTAGTTGTGAAAAATTGGTAATGGTTGTGTTGGTTCTTAATCAGGAGTCATCAAGATGATGCCAAAATGGCTTAGCTACCTGGGTTTTACACTGGCTTCCCATGGTATGGTTTGTGTTCAGGGAAGCCTGAGCTCAAAATGCACTGGGCACAATATGTGTGGCTTTAGTGATCGCTTAACAGTGCAGAACAAAGGTGTGATTATTAGTCAGTCTTTAAAGGACACAGTAGCGATTGTTTTTCATCAAGATGGAGATGTTGGCGCAAGTCGAGCCCCTCAGCCAGTTGAAGAGGACGAGTGCTGCCCCAAGAGTCCTCATGCTAATTTATGCTCCATGAAGAAGAAAATCTCCTGAGGCCTGATGTTTAAGGGCAGCAGATCAGTTACAAAATCCCTTCAAAAAGTTTTTAATGCATTTTATGTAGTAACCACAAGCCGTCTACTGTATCATAGCTCCAAATAGAGCTAATAGAGTAACTAAGGAAGAAAAGTGGAAGATGATGTGGTAGTCAATTTCAGAGATGCCATTTTTTGTGGTGAAATTGATAATATTACTGCTTTTTCCAATGCGGACTGAAAGAAGTAACAGAGGACAGACCTTTCCACAGCCTTTGGGTTGAGTGGTGCAGTACTGGAGGAAGGAGAAGCAGCTGTGTGGACCCAACCTCAGCGGCGGGAGGTGGAAACAGGTGTGTTGTGGAAGTAATGAGGCAGAAAATACTGCTTGTTCACAGCAGGGATCAGCAGCAGGAAGGCAGGAGATGCACAGCCCCCTGTGGTAATGGTGTGAGGGCTGTGTCCTGAGAACAGAGCTGGGACTGTGCAGGGCAGGCGTCCAGGGCAGGGCTGTTTGCCAGGAGCAGAAGGAGAGGACAGGCTGTACAACATGCGTGGCAGGCTGGGCCTTTGGACAGGGCTTGCATTGTTCAACCATCATTTCAGTTTTTTATTTATTTCTTTTTTAGGCTGCTTCCTTGCTTCTCTCCCACGTCCATTATGTGTGAAGTGTTTTGTTGCTTTCGGGTTCTGGCACGCTTGTTGAGTGTTTAAGGGTTAGGAAAGGGATAAAATAATGACCTGTTCTACTATATAAATCCTTTACACGTGATTTACTGTTTTTATTTTTACAGCACGTCACTACCATTTTTACTTTGGAATTTATTAGCCGAAGAAAATGCCTGGCAATGCAGTAACTGGAGTGACATGGGACAATAGAGGAATTGGTTTCACAATTGTGAGAGCCCAGTGGGGGCAGTTCCTTGGTGATGCCATAGCTTGCACAGGATGCAGTCAGGCAGCAGTGGCAAAATTGGGAATGGAAGCTTTACCTGCTTCCCTATCAGCTGGATATAGACAGTGTGCAGGGCCCCTGGGACTGTCTGAAGGAGAAGTTACAGACATCAAAGTATGCTGATTAATAATGGAGCCATCACTTCCAAAGGGTTGCTGTTTGGCAGAGCTTTGCTTTGGAAAGCCAGTGACCCTTAAAGGTATGGGGGCAACCAGTAAGGAGTCTGGCCTGCTCTAAACCTTTATGACTCTGAAGTGGATTACAGACAGATAATTTCTATCTGAATCTTCTGTGACACTGATGACTGTAGTGTGGACCACACCTTTGTATCCATTATGGTTGCAGTGCAGTGTGTTTGGTTTTTAAAACTGCACTGCAGAGATGCCTAGAGAGGTTGAGGTCAGTTTACATAAAAACATGAAGAAATATACCTAGCTTAACAAGTTGTTTCCTTAAAATTTCATTTAAGTGTTTTCCTATATAAAAAATGAAGATGAAAAGAACTCTGGAAATTTATGTCCACAAATAATTTTAATTGAACCCAACAGTTATGGTAGTATGAAACAACATACTGAATGCTGCAGAGCTCCTCTCAGACTGAAAATATGCGAAGAAAATTTAGATTGTATATGCCCTTCAGTATTACTTAAAACCTTTAAATGCAGAATATATTTGAAACGCCAATCTAACATTAGTACAAAATGTTTGTGGCTTTTTGTCTCAAATAATGAAAAAAGCAAAGGGACAATAATGATGTTTTACATTGTTTAAATTTTTCAGTTTTCATTTTTATTGTGTAAAGATTTCATTTGAAACTGACAACAAAAGAAACCATCAGATGGACAACACTGTGGTCTTGTAGATTGTCTGTAGATTGCTTCACAAAGTTAGCTACCCATAGCACTTAGATCTGAAAGAATGTACCCAACTACACATTTTCCAGTTTCTTCTCCAGAAGAGAACAATTGTTCTCTGCGGTCCCTGCTCACCATGTAGAGTCACATTTACTCTGTATTCTTAAAATCCTACCCTTGCTATCTTCACGTACGCACCCGCACTCAGACACCCTGATCTGATGGGTATTGCCTGTTTTGTTTGATTGAAGTTATGAAGTTATTTAAGAGGACAAATGGCAGTAGTGGCTCTGGTTTTATTTCTGAATACATTGGTTTACTTTTTGCTAAGGAGATAAAATACTGAAAACAAGCAACTTGTTAAACTTCACTCAGTAAATAATAAGGAAGCTGTATGTTTTCATTGTAGAAATTTGAGATTTTAAATTTTGAAAAATATTTCTATTAAACAATAAGAAATAAAATCTGATAGGTGATAAACCCTTGGAGTAGACTTTTCCAGTATGAACCAAAGAGATATATGTCAACATCACATGAAGGTTAAAGTGATGTTCATTAGATTGAAATGCATCCCGGCCATCTCCAGAGGTGATTACATCAGTAAATCTACTGCTTGATCCAGTTCCAAGGGTCAGGAGTTATCATGGGCATTTCTGCAATGGTGCATACAACAAATTGATTTATGGCCTTTCCTGATAAAAAGTACTGAATAGTAGTACAATAGGCAGGCTTTGAATTAGCATAGCCTCTGATAAAACAAACAAACAAAAAGCATTCAGAGTTATTTTTTCAACGATTTAAGCAACCAGCAGGTTTGTAAGCACCAGAGCTAAGGAGGTGGGTTGGTCTGGAGTCTGGTTGATTTTGGTGCATGCTCTGATCAAAACTCACCACCAGGCTGAGCACTTCTGTCGCCTTATCAGGAGACCTGTGCCTGCCTGTACCTTATCTGAAACAGCCGCTGCTGCTACAACTGGAACCCCGGGGAGTCTCTTTCCTCTGCTTGCTCATTTCTTTTAAATTCCAGAAGACCTCTGTCTTGTGGCAGAAATGGCAAATGGGTTCAAAAGTTGGGTAGAAATCTTAATGAAATGAACGTAGTTGCCTAGCCATGTGCAACTGGTGCAGCCAAGTGAGACAAATTTGCAGGGGAAAAAGAACTTCTAAAATCATAGCAAACCCTCAGAAGCTAATTTTAAAATATTCTAAGTGACACGCTGTATGCTGGGACAGAAATGTCATGTGTTAAGAACATCATCAAAAATATGAGTTCTTTGCTCAGTCAGGCACATATTCAGAAGCACTGAATTTCATTTCCAGGAATGAATCTACAAGTTTGAAAGGTACAAAAAAATAAAATTGAGAAATTGAAGCTTAAATTGACGGCATTGTCATTTAGAAAGACAAGCTATGTTGATGCCCATAGTACTGAATGTATCTACTGCCATCTATATCAAAGGAAAACTGTTGTATTCAAATGACCAACAAGTTAGTTTATTGTATTAGGAGGGTGCCTCAGATGAGTTTAGAACCTGCTTTTGCATACACTCTACTACCACCCCATTTCTGATAATGTATTGAGAAACTGTAGCAGATCTGTAATAATGCTGTAGATCACTGCAATATGTTTTAGTGTTTTGTCAAGTCACACCTTTATCTGGGGTTATGCAGTGCTTCATGCATACATACCAACCAGAGCACTGTCAGCAGATGCTGACTTCCCAAATGGATGGAATGTGCAATTGCCACATGGGCTGTATCAAAGCTTGTGAATAATTGCCGAGATTTTATAGTTAGATAATGCATGGCCAGTAGCGCTTTTTTAAACCTTTTAGCTTTGAAGAGATGGTGATGTACACAACCGGTGATTAAATGCACACATGGAAGCTTTCCTGCCACCACACCTTGCTTCCATTCTTCTAGCATGTGCACGAAGCAGTCTCATGAACTGCCCTTAGATGTTGCTTTTATTTGCTAGAGGAATATGTCAAATAATACTACTAAAATCTAGTAAGGGGAAAGGCAGGTGTCTCAAGAAAAATTTAGAGTGTATTAACGTAAAACTTACTGGAGATCATCGCTGAAACAGTATCTATCATAATCTTAAAAGCCACGAATGCTATTCTATCTGGAATAACTGAGCAGGCAGGTGGATGTTCCTTGAATTTTTCAGCTACTTTAACTACCAGGATTACATTCCGTCTAGACACACATGCGCACGGAGGCTAAATAGCATATACAAACACATATAATACACAGTATATAAATCCTTGTCTGGCAGGATCACGTGA